AAAGTTATCATTTCAAAAAAAAAATATCAAAGTTATAATACAAAACATGTTATATATATTTATTTACCAAGTATTTTATACAAATATAATAAATATTAATATTTTGTTCAATACTTTCACATGATAACCTACGACACACATCTCACAACACATAAAACATGTAGGAGAAAAACTACCACTACTAAATATCAATATGTGTTTGTAAGATAAAGAGTTCATATTACAACTAAAACCTCAGTCATATACACAACAATGAAAATCTAAAGTTCCCTACACCATAATCTCATTGCATGATAAATCTCTCTATGCTGCTACCAGTAACCTAATTGAACATGACACACTACCAATAAGAAAAAAAAAACAGAGGACATGTACGGAAGATGAAAACAATGACAATGCTACCCAAAAGAGAATTAAGAAGAATTAAATAAATTTAAAACAAAAATAGTATTTATTTAGACTATCGCTTTAAGACTAAGTATTTAGACTAGCGTTATTACAAAATTACAAACATTTATTTTAGTGATAATTATAATCAATCTCTCATATATTATCTTGAATTTATATACTTTAAATTACCAATTTAAATAAACAATTTCAACATTTATTTACCTATACATAAACATCTCCTATATAATATTGCATTGATATACTTCGAAATACTTATTTAAAAATAATCATTGGGCATTATCTCATTCGCGCAAAGCGTGTAAAAAAACTAGTTTATTCAAATATAAACAGTAGGTATTAACTTATTCGCACAATGCATGTGTAAAACTAATTATTATTACTTAATAAAATGAAAAAAATCTTGACCACTACTACTCAACTCTTCATTCAATCATTCTCCAACTAAACAATATAATTTAGCACTCCAACAAGTAATTCCAATGAGCATTCTTTAAATGTTTTTTTAGTACATTCTTTAAATGTTTAATTACTTAATTAGATTTATTTGGATAGGGTTTAAATATTTAATTACGGAGTACTTAAATATTTAGTTTTTAAGTGTTTACTTAATTAGCTTTTATTCAGATTTAAAAAAAATTGTAATTTATGCTCCTTCCTAATATGTTAATTATCAATGTCACTCATGAATTATTAGTAGCGTAAATGTTTTCCCTTAATTTTCAAAACAGTATATATATTGCTCATCCTGTACCGTACCGGAAAGAAAATTAAAGAACAATGTAACATTTACACTACGGCAGAGGCAATATATGTACCGTTTTGAAAATTGAGGGGCAATATTTACACCACTAATAATTCAGGAGTGACATTGATAATTGACATATATATTATAAAGAGTCATAAATTACAATTTGCCCTTAGATTTAATATATTTCTTTTATATACTTATTTCTGTACTTAATCGTTGAATTACTATAAATGGACATTTATTCTTTTATTTGACAATTGCATATAGAAAAACCATTGTTTTACGTTTGATTGTTTGTCGTTTTAAACTCTAGTGTTGATTGTGGATTTGTGGTATGTGAATTGTGGATTTTATGGTCTGTGTGTTTGTTGTTTGTGGAGATTTGGATGTTAGAGAGTTGGAACTTGAATTAATTGTACTGTTCATCATTGCATTTATGTTTTTTGAATTGAATTTTCAAAATGAAGACCTAATTTGAATTGATTAAATGATGTTGAAGTTTATATTTATTAACGTAAATGTGTTTGTTTATTAAAATAAAATAATTAGTATGTTAATTTAAAAATATAAAAAGTGTTAATTGAGTCGGTCCAACCAAAACAAAAATCAATAAGCCCCACAACCCAATAGGACTAGCCTGAAACCGAGTGAGTTGGCTTCATTAACATACCTATACACTAATTTAATGCACAAATAAATAGTTGTGCCTCTTTCTAGACCTCATTTATACATTATGCACACATAATAGTAGGCATGACTACGGTTCGAATCGAACCGTGCACTGTTGAACCGGAATCGAAACCGAATCGTCCGTACGATTCCGGTTCCGATTCCAAAGCGGAAAAAAATTAAAAATCATAGCTTATATATATATATATATATATATATAAATCCGGTTAGAACCGGCGATTCCAACCGGAACCGTCTGTTCATGAACCGGAACCGGAACCGAAACCTTATTATAAGGTTCAGGTTTCGATTTGACCATTTGTGGAATCAGAACTGGAACCGCGGTCCTCCCTATTAGGACTCTATCATCATTAGTGTTCGTTACCTATTATTATTAGTAATTAGTGTTCGTTACCTATTATTATTAGTATTCGTCTTGTAATAGGTTTACTATTCACTACTATATATACTCCTGTACAGACTCATTATTATTCATTCAGATATATCGTATCCTCATCTGGTATCAGCAGGTTTCTCTCTCCTCTCTCTAATGGCGCACCTCAGATCTGATGACGGCTCTGTTGGTAGTTCTGAACGGACCGTTTCCGAGGCCGCGCTTGTTGCACCGCTGCAGTCGGGGGTGTCTTTCTCTTCGGCGCATCACTTCGTCTCCATCAAGTTGACATCCCGCAATTTTTTGTTTTGGCGTACTCAGCTTCTTCCGTTCTTGGATGGCCAAGGGTTGTTGGGTTTTGTCGATGGTACTTCGGTATGTCCGCCGATCACCGCGCTTGCCGTGCCGCCTGCCGAGGGAGCTGTTCTTGCAGTGCCTTCGTCGGCTTCGTCTTCCGCTGCTCGGAGTGCATGGCTCCGTCAAGATAAGGCCGTGCTCTCCTTATTAATCTCATCCTTGTCCAACGAGATGATGCACCTCGCAATCGGTAAGTCCACTTCTCGGCATTTGTGGTTGGCAATCGAACAGGTTCTTGGTTCGACTACACGGGCTCGTGCCCTCCGGTTGGTGGACAAGTTGCAAGGATTACGGCAGGGGGATGCTTCGATCCCGGACTATCTTGGCCGTGCGCAGGTGCTTATCGAGGATTTAGCGCTTGCCGGCCGTCCGGTGACGCTAGAGGATCAGAATATGTATATATTCCGAGGCTTGCGGTCCGAATATCGTCCTTTGGTGGCGTCGCTCACAAGGGGTGCTCCGGTGTCTCTGCCCGAGCTATCCGATTTTCTTGTTTCGCAGGCTTTTATATGTGCCGATGATGCTGGTGATGTTGCTGCTGCTCCGGTCGCCATGGCGGCTCAGCGAGGTGGAGGTCGTTCGGGCGGGCAGCAACGTGGAGGCGGCAACCGCGGCCGTGGTCGCGGCAAAGGGCGTGGCCGTGGTCGTGGCGGTGCCGGGGCTGTCCAGTGCTAGATCTGCTCCGGCGAGGGCCATTCGGCCGCTTCGTGCTTTCGCCGGTACGATGGAGCTCCGGGGCCGAGAGCGCATGTTGCGTTTCCTGTGGATGATGCGGCTTCGGTTAGCACTCAGCAATGGTTTCCCGACACTGGTGCGTCGAACCATGCCACCCCAAATCCGTCTTTAATGTCCTTGACGGTCTCTTATAACGGTCTGGATCATCTTCGTGTTGGTGACGGTAAGTGTTTACCTATTATTGGTACTGGTTCATCTTCGGTAGCCTCTTCTAAAACACTGTTTCGGTTGTCTGATGTTCTTTTTGTTCCTGGGCTTTCTGCGTCTTTATTATCCGTGCAACGGTTTGCCCGTGATAATAATGTATTCTTTGAATTTCACCCTGATTGTTTCTTTGTGAAAGATCGTTCAACCAGGGAAGTTCTGTATAGAGGGCAGGCTTCGGGGGGTCTCTATTCTTGGCCTGTTTCTCGTTCGAGTCCCGCTGCGTTAGTGGCTTCGCGTGTCTCCTCTGACGTTTGGCATGGTCGGTTGGGTCACCCTCATCCTCGTGTCTTGCGACAGATTTTGAATTCGTGTTCCATTGATTCTAGTTTTAGTAATAGTTCGGTGTCATGTCGTGCTTGTATGCTTGGGAAATCATCTCGGTTTCCCTTGCCTCGTGTCAATACTACTACGTCGCATGTTTTAGAGCTTATTTATACTGATATTTGGGGCCCAGCGCCTTTTCTTTCTGTCAGTGGTTTTCGTTATTTTGTTTTGTTTGTTGATGACTACACACACTATGTATGGTTTTATCCTATGCGATTAAAAACTGATGTGTATGCTATCTTCGAGCAGTTTCGGTCACTAGTTGAGCGTTCATATGGTCGTAAGATTGTCTCTATACAATCTGATTTAGGGGGAGAGTATAAACGGTTGCACCGTACTTTTGTCTCTTTGGGTATCAATCATAGGCAATCTTGTGCCTATACCCATGAGCAGAATGGTAGAGTTGAGCGTCGGCATCGTCACGTTGTGGAAACGAGTCTGGCTTTCTTGGCTCAGGCTTCGGTTCCACAGCGATATTGGGATTATGCCTTTGAGACTGCGGTCTATCTCATCAATAAAATGCCTACTCGAGTTCTAGACAATGTCAGTCCTCATTATCGTTTGCATCATTCTAATCCTTCTTATTCCTTCTTACGTGTGTTTGGCTGTCTCTGTTATCCTCTGTTGCGCCCGTACAATCGTAACAAGTTGCAGTATCGGTCATCCCCGTGTGTGTTTCTTGGTTATCCGTCTTCGTTTCGTGGCTATCGTTGTTTAGATCCTACTACTAACAAGGTATTCATTTGTCGTCATGTACGGTTTGATGAGACCGTATATCCGTTTGCTTCTTCTATGCCTTCTCAGGTCTCTAGCTCTCGCCCGGTTAAGCCGTGGGTTGTTGGTGCCGTTCGGGTTGGTGTTGGCTCCGATGTTTGTCCCACTGGACCTGATCCTCATCCAGAGTTGGACGCGGATTCCGGGACTGCCGCAGCTGGTTCAGATTCTCGCACCGTGACTGCTACGGCTCCGGAAGGGGCGGTCTCGGGTGCTCCTACTGCGCCCAAGCGAGGCCGCCGTACGGCGAAGCCTGTTCAGCCTCGGTCTCATGTCATGGCAACCCGTTCTCAAGGACCGACGCAGCATGTGGCTCTTATGACTGTTCCTGAACCGACTTGTTATTCTCAGGCAGTTCGGTATCCGGAGTAGTGTGAGGCCATGGATCTTGAGTTTAATGCCTTGCTCCAGAATCACACTTGGCGTCTGGTTAGTCGTACACCTGGCATGAACGTTGTGGGGTGCAAATGGGTGTTCAGAACGAAGCGCAAGGCCGATGGCACGATTGAGCAGCACAAGGCTCGATTGGTCGCAAAGGGTTTCAATCAAGTCGCTGGGCAAGACTTTTTTGAGACTTTCAGTCCTGTTGTCAAACCCACCACCGTGCGGCTTCTTCTCTCTTTAGCCGTTTCTCGCGGTTGGGTCATTCGGCAGTTGGATGTTCACAACGCCTTCCTCAATGGTAATCTTGCAGAGACAGTTTACATGAGACAGCCGCCCGGTTATGAAGACCAGTCACGGCCGGATGATGTGTGTTTGTTACAGAGGTCACTCTATGGTCTTAAGCAGGCTCCTCGAGCGTGGTTCAATAGGTTGCATGCTTTCTTGGTGTCGGTTGGTTTTTCACCCTCCAAGACTGATGTTTCTTTATTTATCTATACTCGTGCCTCTATTTGTTTATATTTGCTTGTCTATGTTGATGATATCCTTGTTATGGGGTCTGATGCTTCGTGTGTTACTCGGCTTCTTACTGACTTAGCCTCGGAGTTTAAGATTCGTGACATGGGTGCTCCGTCTTTTTTTCTTGGCATTGAGACGGTCTCCAAGGATGGTGGTTTGTTTCTTTCTCAGCAGCGATACATGCGAGATATTTTGAGCCGTGCAGGTATGGTGGACTGTAAACCATTGGCTACTCCGGTTCCTGTGTCCCGACCTTCTTCTGATTCTGTGGTTCCCTATGCGGATCCCACGCAGTATCGCAGTCTTGCTGGGGCTCTACAGTATCTTACTGTTACTCGTCCGGATCTCTCTTTTGCCGTGAATCGGGTCTGTCAGCATATGCACTCTCCAACCACTGAGCATTGGGCTATGCTCAAGCGTGTTCTGCGGTATGTAAAAGGAACTCTGCACTTTGGTATTTTTATTCGTCCTTCCTCCTCTGTTGCGGTTCATGCCTTTTCGGATTCGGACTGGGCTGGTGATCCAGCTGACAGGAAGTCTACTAGTGGTTTTGCGGTTTTTCTTGGTGGCAATCTGATTTCCTGGTCTTGTCGGAAGCAACGCACGGTTGCTCGTTCGTCTACAGAGGCTGAATACAAGGCTCTGGCTGATGTGTCTGCGGAGGTCACCTGGTTGGTTTCTCTGTTGCACGAGCTTGGAGTGTCATTGGCTGCTCCTCCCACTCTCTGGTGTGATAATTTGGGTGCGACTTATCTCTGTTCCAACCCGGTGTTCCATGCTCGTACGAAGCATGTGGAAATTGATTACCACTTTGTTCGTGACAAAGTGGCGAAGAAGGAGTTGCAGGTTAGCTTCATTTCCACAAAGGATCAGCTCGCTGATGTGTTCACTAAAGCTCTCCCTGGTCCGCGTTTCTCTACTCTATGTGGCAAGCTCAATGTTGTTGCTAGTCCACCTTGTGCTTGAGGGGGAGTATTAGGACTCTATCATCATTAGTGTTCGTTACCTATTATTATTAGTAATTAGTGTTCGTTACCTATTATTATTAGTATTCGTCTTGTAATAGGTTTACTATTCACTACTATATATACTCCTGTACAGACTCATTATTATTCATTCAGATATATCGTATCCTCATCCTCCCTACATAATAGAAAACATTCTAACAAAGTTTTTACTTTTAAAAAAAATCTACCTATTAGTGTACGAAAAAATTCAAACTATCAAAATTTGGATATGACAAGCCATTGAAGTGTTTGTTGATTATTGATTATTTCATCTATTTTTATGATGGATAGAAAATCTCAACCCGTTATTTTTCTTAAATTATTCTCATAGTCAAACAAAGATGTGTTTCTGTCTAAAAATCCTCAAGTTTCATTACTTTTTCGTGAATTCAAATCTGATAACTTTTAGTAGTGAAAATCATGAAATATAAAATATAAAATATTCCCTACAAAGTACAATATAAAAAAAACAAAAAAAAACAAAAAAAAAAAAAAACCATAAAGATTTAGAGAGAGTGATCCCATTTCTCATTTGACCTCTAAGTATAAGGTTTTTTTTTTTTTTTTTTTTTTTTTTTTTTTTTTTTTTTTTTTTAGTACTACTGACTCAGTTACAATGTAGTATTTGTTCATAACTATTTTCTTAACTTATTAAAATACAAAAAGTATCGTTCCACTGGAATTCAAACCTATAACCTCCCATTTGAAAGAGTCACTTCATGCTACTACATCACTAGGTCATTGGTCCTCTAAGAATAAACAAAGTGGGAAAACTATAAAATAGAAAAGAAAAGTAGAAGCACACTTATGATTAATTCCCATAATAATGAATAAGGTTAAATGTGAACCTAGCATATAGCATTAAATCAGACGATATGTTGCTTTCCTCGTAATGTTGACGCATATGGTACATGTTAATTGATCTGACAAGCACCGACGCTGCCATCGTCGGTGGTCCTCTCATCTACTGCATTGCATGCTGTCATAATTGGCTGCCAAGCAATCACCATTATACTTTATGATTGAATTAAATTGTGATTCATCATGCACATAATAATTTTTATCTATTTATAAAAATATTTTAAAATTTAATTTTTACAGCGTCTAATTGTATTTTTGTTGGTGTCACAACCACACATTGTGGTCCGGGTCTTTCTCTGTCCGTTTAACGATTCAGGTCCACCCGGTTCGCTCCGAGAGAAACAAAAGCTGACCCAAAGGGAATTGTCACTTGTGGGAATCAAACCCAAGTTATCCCAGAATTCTCCCCCATAAAGAAAGCTCATTTTCCATTTGAGCTACCCTGTTGGGTTATTAGTTATTACTGATCGTAACAATGTGTTTTATGTTACTAGATAAATGTCTAATGTAAGAAAAGAATAATAAATAATACTTGGTTTTATTCCAAAGAAAAGAATTATTGTCCAATACATGATTAATGTATGGAGTTTAATTTTTTTTAGATATCCTTATGCAAATTAACAATGATCATATCTGATCTTAGAGAGACGAAACTTGCTGCTTTGTTCATATGAAATTCAGTTGAAATAGTGATTTTTTCTTTAAGATGATTGTAATCGAGATTTTTAATGAAGAAATGTTTAGATGTATATAATAATTTTTGTAGTAAATATAAATAAAAATGACACATAATCTCAATTATAATAACAAAATGACGGGTCGGTTCTGGGGCGAAGTATCTCTCAGGCATGGGCGCGGCGGAGTCAGAAAGTCTAGGTTAGGGGATCAAATTTATAGAAGAAATTTATCATGTTAGTCGGTAATAGTACCAACCATAAAATATCATTATATATACCCTACATGATTATGCCGATTATTATTGATAATTATTTTTATTTATACTATGTGCAATAATATATGAAATATATAATTACATGAGTATGATTGTTAAGGTTGTCAAACATTACTTTCGAATTTTTCACTTAACACGACATATATATAATAGTAAAAAATAAGGAAAATTATAATTTTTATCACTAAGTTATATGACAATTGTAGAGTTAATTCCAGCAATGGTCCTCCGACTATATTAATTTCCAAAATTAGTCATCGACTTTTAATTTGGACACTTTACGTCCCTTGACTTTCAATTTCTCTCCAATTGAGGTCCTTTCGTCAGATTACGGTAAATTGGACTTTAAATGAAAGGGTAAAGTAGTCATTTCATATGCCTAATGTATAATTCTTCGTATTTCTCCCTTGTATGCGCTACTTCGAATATTAGATTCACTTAATTGCTTAATCCCAAAATCTGCTCGAAGAACAAAATTTCATTAGGGATTAAGCAATTAAGTGAATCTGATGTCCGAAGTCACGTATACAAGGAATAAATACGAAGAACTATACATTAGGTAGATGAAATGACTACTTTAACCTTTCATTTAAAGTCCACTTTACCGTAATCTGACGAAAGGACCTCAATTGGAAATAAATTGAAAGTCAAGGGACGTAAAGTGTTCAAATTAAAAGTCGGGGACTAATTTGGAAAATCAATATAGTCGGAGGACCATTGCTGGAATTAACTCAATAATTGTAGAATTCGTCTCTAATTGTTGGTCGTTCTCACTTTTTGTCCCTAAGATATACTCCGTAATTGATGTTGCAAATTTCGTTCCTTTACTAACAAAACATTAGGGACGAAATTTGCAATGTTAGTATAATTTAGGGACAAAGATTGAGCACAACCTATTATTAAAAGGATGAAATTTGCGACGTCAATTATAGCTTATGGACAAAAAGTGAGCACGACCAACAATTATGTACGAATTCTACAATTACCCTATAACTTAGGGATGAAAATTGTAATTTTTGCTAAAAGTATTTACATTTATTTAAATATGCGTTGTCACTATTTTATCAAATAAGAAGTTGTCAATTGTTTGGTCAACAACAAATTTTTTTTATAATAAATAGATATCTATTTTACGGATTAATTGAATATATATTTCAAAATTTAAGAGATGAAAACCAAAATCAATATTGCGAAATAAATAATTATTATTAATTTTTATAAATTTCAAAACTAATCATTTAACTTAGCAAATTTACATCCTAAAGTTGTGTTATGAGAGGAGGGCGGTTTGCATCATCAAGAAAAGCAAGGAGTTGGAAATACTGTGCGGTCTGAAAATTGGTGTTGTTATCCTCAGCCATGACAGCAAGCTGGAGAGTTGGCTCCCTGAACTCAACGACGTGAAGGATTACTCGACATAATAAGTTATCAATTAATTAATCAATTAATAAAACTAAAACAAATATACCTCAAATTTAAAGAGTAATGAAATTAAATTAGATACTTAATGCTCTTCATTATTGAAATCTTGACCAAAAATAAAAAGCTAATTAATAAAGAATAATGATAAATTTGATTATTTCATTTATTTACTTTCAATTAATGAATTTGGGCTTTAATACATATATTTTGAGTTCATTTAATATATGCATAATAATTTTTTTAAAAAAAATTAAGAGGGGCTTGATCAAATTTAGATCAACGGCTCAAATCAATGAATTTTTAAAAAAAAATGTTTTTTTTTTTTGAAAATAAAAAAATGCGTTGTTATAAACCCATGATCTGAAACATGTTTAGATGTATAATAATTTTAGTAAATATAAATAAAAATGATAAAAATGACACATAATCAATTATAATAACAAAATGACAGGTTGGTTCTGGTACGAAGTATCTCTCAGGTGAAAGATGAGGTTAGATCTGAGCCGTTGGTCAAATCTAGATCAACTGCTCAGATCAATGAAAAAAAAAAGCGTTGTTACAAACTCAGGATCTGCTACTGGCGCTCATCTATTCTCTTCTATGTTACTTTGTCAATATCCATTAACATATCTGAAACATTATTAGAAAATGATAGTGGTTGTGTTTTGGGACTGCAAAAAAAAAAAAAAAAAAAAAAAAAAAAAAAAGTTAAAGAAGAAAATTGTAAAAAATGGCGCACTTTAAGAAGGAAAACCACGCACCTAAAGCTTTAGGCCGACGCACCTTAAGTTTCAACAACTGACGCACCTTAAGCACACAGCACAGAAACCACACACCTTAAATTTGACCTAGATGCAAAAAGACCAAATTGCCACTACATTTTTTTAATCTGTGTTTAATCTGAGTTGTTGATTTTGATTAGATCAAGGGTTGAGATTAAACCCCATCTCCGCACCTGAATCTTATTACCGCATTTGATCTCTCTCTCTCTCTCTCTCTCTCTCTATATATATATATATATATATATATATATATATATATATATATATATATATATATATATATATATATATATATATATATAATTGTTAACATTATTAAATAATCTTAGAGGGAAAAGGAAAAAGAAGAATTAGAAGAATTGTTCCTGCAAAAATGATTCCATTAGATTGAATATGTAAAGAGATTGACGTGTTTGTTAAATAAGGGTGATAGTTTAACACTCATGCTATATGTTTTTATTAACTATTCTTGAAATTGGAAATTATTATGTTAGAAAAGAATGGTATATAATAACTTTTGATGATGCTTTTCAATTGCATTTGGAAATCATATATATTTTATATTCTTAAAAAAATTAAGGCAAAAAAATTCAAATCAAATAATTTTGAAGCATAAGTCTATGATAAAGCAGAAGAGTTCATATTTGAATGCTTTGTAATTTTGTGGCTGACATTAGCAACAAGAGATTTTCTACTTTGTATTCAGTATTCTAATACATTAGTGGGTTCTCTCATGGGTGATACGAAAATAAAAAGTAGATCAAGGGACAATACCATATGGTAAATTACTATAAAAATTTTCTCTTTGTCCTCACATTTACATACAAATTAAATTTGTTTATTTGATATCTTCTAACTTGGTAAAGATGTTATTTTTTCTATATCATTTTATGTGTGTGATTTTGTAAGCGAGACTTGATTTAAATTATCTACAATTTTAACTTTTTTAGTAATATTTTTTTTTAGAATAAGGTCCAAATTGGCCACTGAACGTAACATGAAAATGTAATTAGGCTACTGAACGAAAAAAAAAGTGTAATTAAGTCACTGAACACTCCAAATGTATGCAATTTCACCTGATAGCAGGTTACCATCAATTCTAGCAGTTTACCTGCTTACGTGGCAGCTGAGTTGGCATTTTTAATATTTTTTAAAATAATTTTTAATAATAAATTTTTTTAAAAATTAATTTTAAAAAAAAATTTGTAGTAAATTTTTAATTTCTTTTTGTAGTAAATTTTTAAAATTTTTTAAATTTTTAGTAAATTTTTTAATTTTTTAAATATTTATTAAAAATTATTAAAAATGCCAACTCAGCTGCCACGTAAGCTGTTAACCTGATAAAATTGATGGTAACCTGCTATCCGGTGAAATTGCATACATTTGGAGTGTTCAGTGGGATAATTGCACTTTTTTGAGTGTTCAGTGGCCTAATTGCACTTTTTTTTTTTTTTTTTTTCGTTTAGTGGTCTAATTGCACTTTCAGGTTACGTTCAGTGGCCAATTTGAACCTTATTCCTATTTTTTTTGAGTACTACTGACTCTGTTACAATGTATTCCTTCCGTTCCATTTTATATGTCTTGTTCGATTAACAAGGTTTGAGTGAAGTTATTTTTAATTCAATTTTTTTTTTATAATATTAAGTTTAGTATTAGTATACAAAATTTATATATTTAGAAACTACACTAAAAATAATATTAAACACAAAAAATCAAATTTAAAAATAAATAAAAAATAATAAAGAAAATAAACAAAAAGAAAGAGTGGGTTTGACCAATGAATACTAAGTAGGACAGATAAGAGAGTAATATATATTCATAATTATTTTCTCAACCTACAAAGCACAAAGAGTCAATATCGCTCCCACTGAGAATTGAACTCACGACTTTTCATTTGGAAGAGCCTGGTCCTTGGCTAGTACGAAGTAATATTTAATTTAATGTTAATATATAAAATGTATATATTTAAAAATTAAATAAAAAATACTAATAAACTTTTTATTAACAATTAAAAGAAAATGCTAAAGAAAAAAACTGAAACACGAGTCACATGTTAAGTAAAATGGGATATATGATATGATTCCAAAAAAAAAAACATTTTCCAACTAATTGGAGAATTTATTGGGATTTGTTTTAGAGATTAGAGAATAGGGAGTAGAAACACAGTAGACGAATTGAAGTTAAAGGGTGACAGGCGCGCAAATCGCAATATCGGATTCCCACTTGCCTTTGAGCGAGTGTCGGCAATGATTTCGATTTCCAACCCCAACCCCACACTCCATTCCCTACTTAATATTAATAGACTCCCATCATATTTTGGTCTCTTCACAAAATGAACTTCAAACACTAGACTAGACTAGACTTGTTTCCACAAATTCCTTTCACCCATTTTCCAAGGTACATTCTATACTATCTGTGCATCAAAGTACAGTGTATACATTGTTCAGTTCAGTTATTGCTTGCCGATGCTCTGCTTTTTATATTCCTTTCTAGTGTTCTTGTTTGATCTGGAAAGTTAGCTTCTTTGCCCAGTTTTTGCACAAAAAAGTTTAAAATCTAGAAGATAGTTGTGTAATTTATTATGATCTGGATGGGTTATTTTTGGGTTGGGGAGGGATCTGTTTTTAGAGGTTTATTTTGTTCTGATTCTCTAGTGTAGAGAAAAGGGGGAATTGAATCGGTATTTAACTTTATTTTTTACCTTTTTTATGATTATATGATTTTTGCTTTATGTGCACAGTGCAAGTGAAGAGATTATGCTTTCTAATTTAAATGCAATGCAATGTTAATCTGCAAGTTACAAATCTTGATGTCAGCTTAAAGAATGCTGTTTCTGTTTGATCCATTGAAGTTAACTTGTGTGTTGTTCTGCGAGTAACAATTCTTGATGACAGATTCTGTTCTTTAATTAGCATTAATTTCATTTCTTCATACTGGAGGACCATTTATAAGCTTGCTTAGATGATATATTAACAATAACTCTGGTTCTAATTTTGAATCGAATCTTTGTTTTTCTCAACTCATGTATTCATATTATCTATCTCAGTTTCAGGAGATTTATTAATATTTCTTGTTTCAGAAGTTCAAGGCTAATGGCTTCTGGGAATATCTCCCGGACCAATGGAGGGAGATCCAAATGTTATTCAACAGTTACTATCCTGACTTTGCTTGGGTTCTGTATGATTGGGATTTGGATGTTGATGTCATCGTATACTATTCCTGTTCAGGACATGGAGTTTTCTTCTTTAGATACAGTGAATGAGGTCAAATTGAAAGGAACCAAGAGTATTAAGGGCAGATTTGCACTTAGTTTAGATGATTCACAAACGGACGGGGAGACTGAGAACAATTCTGATGCTGAGTCCAGTTCAAACACCAATGGTGAAGATACGAGTTCAAATGATGAAGAATCAAGTCATGTGAGTGGGGATTTGGATAATGAAGTCGAAAAGTCAAATTCTGATGGCTTTGATCAAGCACAAGAAAGTATAAACGAGTCTGAAGACAACAGTGGAGAGGATACAGTTAATTCTGAGCACACAGAGGGCAGTGAAGAAAATTCAAAGCAAGAGGATGAAGATAATGTTGAGACTAAGCAAGATGAAGGTTCAGATGATAAGTCTGGAAGTGACAAGGAAGATAACCTTGTAATCAACCAGAATGGAGATGAAGTTTTTCCATCAGGAGATCAGTCTGAGATTTTGAAGGAAACTACTATTCAGAATGGCCCTTGGTCAACTCAAGCTGCTGAATCTGAAAAAGAGAAGGAATCACAAGAATCTGTACTGTCGATGGGTAATAATGGCCATAAGTGGAGGCTGTGTAATACCAGTGCTGGACCGGATTATATTCCTTGCTTAGATAATTTACAAGCCATACGCAAGCTTCCAACTACAATGCACTATGAACATCGTGAGAGGCACTGTCCAGAAGAAGCTCCATCATGTCTTGTTCCACTGCCCGAAGGATACAAGCAGCCCATCAAATGGCCTAAGAGCAGGGAACAGGTATAGTTTCATGCAATGTTCTACTTGGTTTTCTTCTTTGATTGCAATTTTGTTTATTTAATGACCCAGAACGTTTGCTCATTTTTCAGATATGGTACTCTAATGTACCTCACGCCAAGCTTGCCAAGGTCAAAGGGCATCAAAATTGGGTCAAAGTTACTGGTGAATATCTTACTTTTCCAGGTGGTGGTACTCAGTTCAAGAATGGAGCTCTCCACTATATTGATTTTGTCCAAAATGTTAGTTCTTTCAAGCTCCAATGTGCTATGTTTTTATTATTTATTTCTTTATCTCTTTTTCTACCTTCACCACTTAGTATCAATTGTTTTTCTTATTCCTGTAATAGTGAATAGTTTCTTTAGTTACAATGTGTGAGCTTTAGATAATTTATTAATAATTGTATTGGAAAAAGTTTATTTTTCATCTTTTTCCTTGCTATACAAGAGTAAGATTTTTACACTCATCATTACTTCTACTTGGTGGAGTTTTCTACTAGAAAGTGGTATGCATTGCATTGATTCCTCAATGAAGCTATATTTTTTCTCAATGCTATAGACACATTGCTACCAGAATTTTAAATTTAGGCAGAAAATGTTTGGCAGTGTTGTCTTTGTGTATCCTGTTTTCTGGGTCAGAAAATAAATTTTTGAAGCTCCTAGTTACTTAACCTATGATTATTTTTGCGAACATTTGCAACATGTTTCGATTAATGTGGATCTTTGTATTATAGACTATAGAGTATTGTTGATGGATATTTTCTGGTTCAATTCTTGAAACTGGTGTTTTTTCTGGCAATGCAGTCTCTTCCTAAAATTGCATGGGGAAAAAGAACTCGTGTAATATTGGATGTTGGCTGTGGAGTGGCGAGTTTTGGAGGATACCTTTTTGAGAGAGATGTACTTGCAATATCCCTTGCTCCAAAGGATGAGCACGAGGCACAAGTGCAGTTTGCCCTAGAAAGGGGTATTCCCGCTATATCAGCTGTTATGGGTACAAAAAGACTACCCTTCCCCAGCAAGGTGTTCGATGTTGTCCATTGTGCACGCTGTAGAGTTCCATGGCATATCGAAGGTGAAGCTTTCAGCTGGGCCCATTCGCTGTTATATCACTTATGTATATCAATGTACTGATGGTTAACGTCTTAGTAAATTGCAGGTGGTAAGCTTCTGTTAGAATTGAATCGTGTCTTGCGGCCCGGTGGGTACTTTGTATGGTCTGCAACTCCAGTATATCGTAACGACCCTGAAAACGCTGGCATTTGGAAAGGTGATTGCTAATTACTTGATAAAATTTTTATCCGTTCACTAGCGAGTCAGGGTCTGATGCCCCGTTCTCTGATTTTTGTGCAGCTATGTCTGAGCTGACAAAGTCAATGTGCTGGGAGCTAGTGGTAATAAAGCAAGACAAGTTGAATGAAGTAGGTGCTGCGATCTTTAGAAAGCCAACTTCGAATGATTGCTATGATGGAAGAGCAGAAAATGAGCCACCGATCTGCAAAGAGGCTGATGATCCCGATGCTGCCTGGTACAGTTCTGTTAAACATTGCATACTTATTAGTGATATATCCATCTATCACAAACTAGCATTAAGAAGTGTAGAAAAGCAGTCGAAGGTGCATTATAAATTTACATATAGAAAATTGCAACCGGAAAGAAGAGCCGCAAGAGCGAGGAATCTTGTTGGATTTGTAAAAACATTAGGAAACTCACGGGATCTACTAAAACTACCCTGGGTATCTGCTGCCATGATAAATATAATCATTTTGTTGCAAAAAATGATTTCGTTGATTTTATACTGCAACGAATTCTTGTACAGGTCTGTTAAGTAAGACATGAAAAGTGCAGAATTGCATTGGTTATTTGAAAATCATTGACATTGAAAAAAAATGTTTTTCTGCATTATTTTCTTTTTGATCCCTCTTGAGATATGGTCAGTCAAGTCATAAGAAACTACTTATATTTAAATTTTCATGATGTCTTGTTCTGAAATGCACATAATTTTTTAGCGGCTTCTAAACGGTTATCTATTTGTTTGTTATTTACATTGTGCTAAGCATAAAAAACACCATCTTCAGTGCTCAGGGTTCATTTGCTGCCAAAACATCTGTTTTGAAGGAAAATATCCTCTTTCCATTAACATCCCTTCCTTCCTACAATGATAAATATTTTATTGATCTATTGAAAAGTCGTTCTGCTTGGAAAATGTGTTTATTTTTATTTATTTATTTTGTTCAGGAATGTGAAGCTCCAGGCATGTATGCACAAAATTCCAACAGGAGGTTCAAAACGTGGATCACGGTGGCCTGAGGTATGGCCAAAGAGGTTGGAGAAACCACCTTATTGGTTAAAAAGTTCCGAACAAGGAGTTTATGGTAAATCAGCTCCCGAAGATTTCACTGCTGACTATGATCATTGGAAAAACGTTGTGTCGAGGTCATATCTGAAAGGTTTTGATATTGACTGGTCGTCAGTGAGGAATGTCATGGACATGAAAGCTGTGTATGGAGGGTAAGTTATTATTCTTTATTTTGCTTTCTTTCTTGGATGTGTCATTCTTTCTATAGTTTCTGGCGGACTTAATATCTCCCATGGTCTTCCGAGTATTAGCGATTTACCAGCTGTGGTCACCCGAGTTTTAAATGACCTCCAATGGTCCTCCATGTTTTAAAAAATAACCACCCGTGGTCCTAATCCTTAAAAAAATCCGAGTTTAAAATGACCACGAGATGTCCTAAAAGGATCACGGGTTATTTCTTAAAACATGGAGGACCATTGGAGGTTATTCAAAACTCGGATGACCACAGCTGGTAAATCGCTAATACTCGGAGGACCATTGGAGGTATTAACTTGTTTCTGGCGATTACATTTTTCATTTTATGATAAGAAAACTGCCACCTTTAGCCGCTGAAAAATTTATTCTCGTTGCAGATTTGCTGCAGCACTCAAAGACTTGAAAATCTGGGTTATGAACATAGTTCCAATCCATTCACCCGACACACTTCCCGTAATATTCGAGCGTGGTTTGTTCGGGATGTATCACGACTGGTGTGAATCTTTCAGCACATACCCTAGAACATACGATCTTCTCCACGCTGATCATCTTTTCTCCGAGATGAAGGAAAGGTAAGATTTTTCGCACTCCCGCCTCTAAAACTTGCTCATAAACATTACTCCACTGGGGGGTTAAGTGACACGGGAACACTCTTTCGAAAAACAGGTGCAGCCTTGAGGGCGTTATTGCTGAAGTGGACCGGATTCTGAGGCCGAAAGGGAAACTGATCGTCCGGGACAATTCTGAAATGATACTTGAACTGGAGAAAATGGCTCGATCGCTACACTGGAAAGTGAAATTTACTTTCTCAAAGGATGACGAAGGATTGCTTTGTGTAGAGAAGACGCAATGGCGCCCAACACAGACAGAGACTATAATGTCGGCTATTGCATAGTTAGTAGTTACACTGCTTGTTGATTGCCAACAAAGGCTAATCATCTTCAAGTTAGGTATACTGCATTTCCACTTCATAATTATTGAGGATGCATGTTTAGTAGATTCACACTTACACATGATAAATTATTATTATTATTATTATTATTATTATTATTATTATTATTATTATTTCATGGGTATAATTGTTTCCAGTTTAGAGAATGTTTTATGTTCATTTTGCACGCTGTAGCCTTAATCTGTTGGAGTTGCTTTTGAAGTATAAATATGAATGGAAGAAGGCAGTAATGCCTTGATTGCTAAGAGTATGATGACAATTATATACTTTATATGATTTATTTTTTCTACCATGCAATGAGTTTAGTATTTGTTTTTATTTTTTAAATTCTTTCAGATATCAGGAATTGGATGTTATAAGTGTTTTTTTAATTATTATTATTTGAATTTGAATTGGATACCGATATCATGTGACCTTTTAAAAGGTGAACCCTAACTATTACATAATTAATGATATTGTTAGAGCAGTTTCTATTGTTGCTAATTGGACTCTAAAGACAAACCATAATTACTAAACTCAAATAAATTTTTGAATCAAATTTAAAAAGAAACCATAACCAGGAAAAAAAATTAAATCATAAATTGTAAAAAGTATACAATTTACACTTATATGTATTAGGGGATACACTCTATCATCCCTCGTTTTAAATTGTTATATCTTCCAAGATGAATGACTCTAGTAGTCTAGTTGGTTCTTAGTTCTCTCCTATACATAAGTTCTCATTTTATCCAAATTTCTCTCTCTCTCTCTCACATACACACACATATTCACATCTTTTATTATTCACTACTCATAATACCTTTATTTTTTCTTTTATTTTTTTAATGAGAAAAAGTATCAAATAAACCCCTAAACTTTATTCAAGAAGTCAATTAGGCTCTTAAACTTTCAAAAGTTGCAATTAAACTCACAAACATATTGTTTTGAAGCAATGAAACCCACAAATCTGTTGGTACTTGGTCGCCTTCTCCAAATGTGACCAGCGAAGACGACCAGTTGGTCGCCTTCTCTAACATTGGAGAAGGTGACTAAGCGACCCACGACCGTTTGAAGGGGTTCGATGGAACCTTAGTTAACTTGCAATTACAGGTCACCAACAGGTTTGTAGGTTTCATTGCTTCAAAATAACATGTTTATGAGTTTAATTGTAATTTTTGAAAATTTAAGATCCAATTGACTTCTCGAGTAAAGTTTAAAGACTTTAAAGCATTTTTCCTTTATTGATACTTGTGTGTTTACTTTCTCTCAGCTGGCAAGTAAACTTGAATAATAATCAAATTGGACAGCACAAGTTATTACTCCGCTCTATTCAACCTACTGAAACACAAAGAGCTAATAACGCCTCTACTGAGGCTTGAACTCACAATCTTCCAAATGGAAGTCCAACCCGAGTACCATTGGACCACATAGTCCTGGTTATTATTATAAGGTATTTATTTTATTAAATATTCAATAATTCTACAAAATATTTGTATGCACTTGCATAATAAATCCTAATTCATTCTTCGGGAGATTTATTTGGTCTAACATTTATATATATATATCTAGATTGTATTTGTGTGTTTACTAGCTGATTGCTATCCTAGCATCTGATCTTGTAGGTCCATAGTTTGAACCCTAGTGGCTTCTTAATCTTTTTGCTTGTACCATCTTGAGTCATACAACTAGTGAAGTACAATGCATATACTTATTAGAAAAAAAAAAAAAAACAAACAGAACATAAATTAGAACATATAACTTTTTAGATTTTCTTTCAATCTAGCTATAAATTCCTTTTTTTAGGTACATTTCACAAATTTGTTTTAAAAACTTTCTATATCGTATACAAACCGAATCATTCATCTTAGTGTCACCAGCACCTCATTCACTTTATACTATAGTTCATAAATTTGTGTTACATAAGTTTGTCAGTACCAATAACCTTGTTATGACCTTTCCAAATAGTTGGGTAGATTCCTAACCACTCGAGCAATATTTGTAGAGGTTAATCCCCTGAATTTTTGAGAGGTAATATATATTACATCGTGTGGAGAGGCAATTAGAGAATATGATTTATACCCCATAGCATTTTGCAACCCACGATGGCTACCTTATAATAACTTGTATACATAATTTTAGGGTAAAATGTGATTTATATGGAAATTTTATTGACCATAAAAAAGGACAATAATTTGGTAATTTGTAGGCATTGATAACTACTTAGTTAAAAAAAAAAAAAAAATTCCTACACATACTCAATTTTTTACACATATTTGAAAAAATTAGATCCCACAAAGCAAAAATAAGAATTTGAACTTTAATACCTAACAAATTGTGTGTGAGAATATTCTTATTAGCTATTAACATTACTTGTATTACAAATTTTTTATTAATTTATAAAATAATAAATATTAGTTAAAATATTTGATATTAAGATTTATATAATAAAATAATGGATAGTACGCTTCAAATCAAGTGATAAATACTCTCCATGGGAAATGAAGTGATGTGTGTCTTGATACAATGAGCAGAGAATAAGGATGGTTCTGATAAGTGGCAGTCTCAATGGTGGACTCATAGAGGAACAGATGATGAAGGCTGAGACTTGAGAATAGCTATGAGGGTGTGGTCTGAGCTTCTGTGCAGCATCACTCTAAAGCCTCTAAGGTGGAGGATTGGTGCTGACATATGTTTGATCTCACCATGGGAAATGAAAGCATATGGAGCAGAATGGAAGGCTGATGGTTATGTTACTGAGCTGATGAGTGCAAAGGCAACCTTGAGTCTTGGAAGAGATCTGAATGCAGCCCCTTAGGCCTTAGGTGCAGTTGTATGCTGCAGTCCCTTTCTGAAGCTTTAATTTTAAAGTGAAGGATATGATAGGGCTGCCATGTAGAAGATCCTTCTATGGGAAATGAATCTGCATGACTTAGCTGCTTGCAGATCAGAGTCAGAGTTGGAATGGTATTGCAAGGGGCTTTGCAGAAGATGAGAAGCTGATGGATATATAGGAGCCTGGTGTTTATGAGTGAATAATGAGAAGCATGGCTCAGTTTTGCAGCATCATTCTGAGGCCCTATGGTGGAGGAATGGTGCTGCCAAATGGAATGCTGTTGGGGCAGGCTTATAGAAGGGATGTATAAAGGCTTTAGTATAAAGCAATTAGGAAGGCAAATGTGGGCAGTGCATCTTGAACCAAATCTTGTGGAATGGAATTCTAAGGTCTTTGAATCAGGATGAAGGGGAGGCATAAGGAGGTCCACCATGGAGGGTGGACTCTTGGGTAAGCTTGACTTTGCATCTTTAAAGTGAAGCTTTAATGGTGCCATGGATTTGATTCTACCATGGAAAATGATAATTCATGCTTGGATATAATGGGGCAGTTGTGGACTGCATGGCTTGGCCGAATGGCCATTGAAATTTAGGTGATGAATTTTGGTGAGAAGCTCTGGGCCTGGTCTAGTGGCTTACCGAGAGCATGGAATATCCAGTATTGGGCCTGGAGTTGGGGTTCAGGATTTTAAGGAGACCTTGGGCTTGAGTTGATGGGCCGATTGTTTGATGGGGCGTATGGCATTAATAGTAGGGGCCTGAGAATAAGCCTTATTATTTTGCTTGACAATATTATATGGGCTCTTGGAGATTAGTCGGGCTCTTGAAATTAAATAGGCTTGAGAGGGTCATTCATGAACATGAAGCCGAAATAATAATCTGGGCAGGTATGGTGGAATCCGAAGGGGCCTAAGAGACTGGGCTTTGGTTAGATTATGAATGGGCCAAGAGCTGGATGATGACCGAATGGGCCTGTGGGCCAGTTGGGCTAGATGATGGTAGGAAGCCGAATGGGCTTGGGAGAATAAGCCGGATGAGACTGAGAGCTAATTGAATTATTTCTTGGGGCATCTTGATGTGTGGGCTATTCGTGTGGCCCTTGGGCCGGTTTGTTGGGTTTTGGCCGTATGGGCCAGGGGCTGGGCGATTCTGTTGGGCCGAGAAAGGGAATTTAATTCCCATTGACCATGGTGGTGCATTAGATAAGCAAAGCTTATTAAGTGGAGCTTAATAATGCATGGAATAGATTCCACTATGGAAAATGAAATTCAATGTCCTTTTGATGATGGATTCTATGGAGGTATAAGGGAGGTTCACCTTGATAGGTGAAATTCATTGTGTGTTGGAAATTCATTGTGTGTTGGGTTTAGGCCGCTTGGCCTTTTATTTTGGTTTGTTGCATATTGATATTCTTTAGGCCATTATGGCTTTTATGTGGTTAGACCATTTGGTCCTTGTAGTTTTAGGCCATTATGGACCTTGTGAGTTTTAGACCATTTTGGTCCTTGTGTATAAAGGCTTTATGCCTCTTTGAGCCATAGGTCACTTTTGGGCCTATGGCGTGTCTTGTAAGGCCTTGGGCCTCTTTTTGGTGGTGAAATAAAGTTCGTGGTTTGCTTAAAAAAAAAGTGATAAATACTCGAACTTAAATCTAAAAACTAACTTAACTATTTATTAAAAACTATGCATATTTAACATGTATATATATAGTCGTCATCTCATTAGTGAATGGACATGATTTCCCTAATACAAGGTAAGAAATTTAACTTCTAAAAATATTTTAATAATGTTCATAATGACTTAGAATGTTCTATTTTGATAAAAAAAAACTTTCTAAAATGCTTCTCACTCAATACATTTTGCTAGGATTTGGGATAACACATAAAATGCACACACTTACGCACATACTTAGTATTTAAAACTTTGTTTGTCCTAATTATTTTTGTACTAATTAAACGATTTAATTTCTTGTCATTTTAAATAATTAATTGACTACTATTTATTTGAATGATTTTAACTTTAGAAAATATTTTCAAGAGATGTAAGAATGATTCAAGATTGATGATTACCTGGATGCGGGCTTCAGACTCGCCACGGGATCAACTACGTATGGAGCGGTGCTAGTGGATGGCTCACGATGGTCGCTTCTTGGCGGCTTGCAATGGGCAACTTCCCGTATGCTTCTCGCCTCTCATGTCGGAGTTCTGGGCTTGTAAGGAAGTTCTTTCTGGGCTTAAGGATCGAAATGTGGTGACGGTAGACTTATTCACGGATTGCTTGGAGCTTCGTAACAGCTTGATTTCAACACGTGCCAGTCCGGTCTTACGTTGGAATCATTATTGATCAGTGTAGAACGTCCATGGCTACATTTAGTTATTGTTCCGTTAATTTTGTTTCTAGAGCTTTAAATATTCAAGCTCATACTCTAGCTGTAGCTGCCTTTGATCAGGCAAACCCGCTGTACTGGGACTTTGTCCCTCCTGACTCTATTGTTGCTTTCATTCATTAATATATTGCAACTTTATCTTTCAAAAAAAACAAGTAAATTTAGAGATGGAAGAATAATTTAAAGTTAATAATCAAGCAAAGTAGGGGTGAATATTAAATATCAATAATAAAATCTCAAATTCTATACTTAGTATTAATATTTTTTCTTTTTAAAAACAAGAAATTAATTTTAGTATATATATTATAATAAAAAATTAATGTAAAATATGTAAACATATAAATTGACAAGTATTTTCTATGCGCGATTCACAAAAATCGATATATGCACAATATTAATACTCTATATTAAAATCTTAGATTTATTTTGATTTTAGATATTTATATTCTTGTATAATAATAATAATAATAATAATAATAATAATAATAATAATAATAATAATGTAAACTATTTTTATATATAAATTTGATATTTACATTTTAGGAAATGACTTATATAGTACTCCAATATATAATGTCTATATATTATTACCATTGAAAAAGATAAGAAAATATATGATGGATGCATATGCATGTCAACAATATATAGTTGGAAAAGATAATGGAAGTTAGAATGACATGGATATTTTTTTATCAAAATATTGTATAGTACAACTCTTATAGCATAATTTATAAAAAAAGTAATTGAGCTGGTTACTGATTTGGAGACATGGAACTTAGTAAATAATGTGGTAAGACCTAAAGTAGTAGAGATTTTGGTTATTCTAGGGGTGAGTGGGGATGATGCAGATGCAGATACTGATGGAGAAGGAGTTGGGGATAGTTCAGATGGGTCTAATTGGGAAGAAGGGGATTTTTCAAATGATGAGTTAGAGGAGTTTGGGGGAAGTGAATATGAAAATGACAAGGCTGATGACCAAGACTTTGTGAAGCATGTTGATCCCCAGTTGAGTATGGAGAGGTTGGAATTCCTACAAATGTTGAGGCTGAAAAACAAGGTAAGACAGTCTAGAATGATGATGCAGTAAATCTGTCAAATGATGGGGCTAAAGAGGCAGAGGGGGGAGGGGTTGAATTTCCTATTCCTGTTAGGCATATTCCTCAATTACCATCTCCACTATGGATGGGTAGAACATTTAGTAATAAAGTGGAGTTCAAAGATGCATTGAAGGTGTATGCTATTCAGTTTGGCAAGGGATGGGGATGGGGACAGGGTCGCGGGGACGGGGAGTACACTCCCCGCCCCGCCCCGCCCCGTTGTCATGCCTAATAAAAAGAAAGCACAAGCATAAATGTTCAACCTTTGCCCAAATCAAGGGGACAAAAGTCACTTGGAATCACTAAGTCAAGAACTAAGGTGCCAAGAAAATACATGACAAGGTCTTCCAACATTATGAAGTTCAAAAATGACAAGTCCTCTCCAATTGACTTAGAATGACAGATCTGAAGTTGTGGACAATGACTTATGGTTTATTTTGTACCAAATCTTGTAATTTTGTGGCAAACAAACAAAACTAATAACCAAACCTCGTGGTGATTTGGTAATCAAAAATATTTTATTTGATTTGTTTATTTGTGAATGAATTTGCTTTCCCCTTTTTGTTGTTTCATATAATCTATCAAATTCATAAAACAAGCAAACACCATTTCATTAAACAAGCAAACACCATGAGATAATTTTTCATTACAAACACCATTGTAGTACATTTATAGCTCTTTTCAATTGCCTAAGCATGAGAGAGCATTTTCACCACTTCTACACCACCATCACATGTACAATTAAAATAATAGAAAATCACAACCAGGATTAATTTGACAACATAAACCAAACCATCACAACTCTACATGAACAATTCAATTTAGAATTCTTATCCCTAGTAGTAGTATTAGTACCTCTTATTTTTGTTTGTAGCCTTTCAATTTCTTCCTCATTCCAATTTAACCTCTGTAACAATCCAGGGATTATTGCCTTTGATCTTGAACACATTGGTGGGTCATAGCATCTCAGAAATCCATACCCACCAACACTCATTCCCTGAACCAAAAACCTCTTCATAAAAAAAAAACAAAAAAAAAAAAAAGGAATCAAATAATTACAAGGGAGAGTGACTTTACTAACCCTATCCTTCGTACAAACCCAAAACCTCCTGCTCGGATTGTCGTTCGTCCACGGCGTTCGAAGCTGCAACGATTGGCTACACTGACAAATGGAAATCGCCGTTGAACAACTTCTTGATGAATTCTGAGTCCACTTGCTATCGGTATTGACGACAGAGTGCATGATAATTAATGCGGTATCGCTGTTGAATACGAAGGATTGTACGAAATAGGTGAGTAATTTGTTGCAGAGAAGATGAAATTAGGGTTCGCAAGTTGGAAGACACCGGGAAGAGGGCATATATAACTAACGTATGGTGGGAAATGCGGGAAAGAATAGAAGGACTATTATGCCCTCAAAGTAGACGGCCATTTAACACCCAAACTGATGGAAGACCATATTGGACACAAAATCAATACTTGAGGACTTAATCTGTCAAAAATAAAAGTCGAGGACCAATTTGGTACTTTCACCATAGCCGAGGGACCAAAACGGTAATTAACTCTAACAATTATCAAGGGAAAAAAATTAAAATAATTTTTAATCAATATATAATAATTTATAATTTTTTTTTGAAAAGTAAAAACAAAATATATTAATAAAGATCAAAGTTCAGTAGATGAAAAATAGAAGGAAACACAATCTGACTTCGAGAGAGCTTCTCTAGCTAGTGCATAGCCAACCCTATTCGCAGATCGTTTGACAAAAGCAAAGTTAAGATCAGTAAAGTCTCTAGCTAGTTCCTTAATATCAAAAGATGAGAATAGATGAATATTATGCAGAGCATTGATAATCTGGGCACAGTGAGTCTCAATTAGGAGCTTGTCGAATCTGAGCTGCTTCAACCACTTTAAAGCTTCCCTGACAGTGAGGGCTTCGGCTTCTCCTGGCTCAAATAAACCTTTCCAGGGCATCTCGATCTCTAGCTGCCAGGAAGTCACCCGTAGAATCTTTGATCAGGATTCCCAATCCCATTGTGCGGCTACTAGAGTCCAACGCTGCATCAACATTAATCTTTAGCCAACCGGTAGGGGACCTCGTCCTGTATTCTGTCTGAGTTTCTGCAGAGTTAGGAGATTGATCACGATATTTAACAGCTGTCCATTCCCGTAAGAAGATGCATGCCCTCTGCCAGTGAACATACCCTTGGCATCCCCTATCCAGATGATTCTATCATCCACTCTGCTCTCTGCCACAGGAATCTTCATAATCTAGTGTACATCGTCCTCAATAAAAACATCTTTTAGAATGTCAAGCTCCCAGTCAGTCTTCTGAATGTTCAAGAGGGCCTACACTTTGATGTCTTTGAGTTGATCAATCACTGGAGTTTGAATAAAATTAAAGGTAAAGAAATATTAGGAATCCAAGGATCACCCCAAACTTGAGTTTTTTCCACTTTTGGTCACTTGACTTTACTTGTGCTGACAAATGTGATTCATGACTTTTATTTCAGACAAAATTAGTGCCTAACTTCAATTTCTTTTCCACATTTGGTCCCATCGACCAAGAATCCGGCCAACCCACCGGAAATTTGCACATCTCTTATTTTTCTAAGGGTAAATTAGTCTTTTCTTGCCCTTGTAAAATAATACGTAGTAAAAACTAAGAAATATTTAATTGCTTCATTCTCGTCAAATTAAAGTTGCTTCCTATTATTTATTTATTTAAACCTCCATCCTCATCCTATAAATCAATGTCACTGCCAGTTTCTTCCCGAAGCTTCTCTGCTAACTGATATTTGCGTCTGCTCGACGGCGGTGATAGAAAAAAGCTTTATTCGGTGGAGTAGAGTCATCGCAAGAAGCCATACAGGGCTCTCTGAAATGTATATGATCTTCAAGCTCCTGATCATCGGCGACGAGATTGTTGAAGATGAAGAAGAAGGCGAGTGGGAGAAAAAAAGATAACTTTCAAACAGAAAACGAGGATCGTTGCTGCAATTCTCTCCAGATTGTCTGCTAAATGTATGTATAATGTAATTTTGCAGATATAGTGTAAACTTGCATGTAGATTTGAGAAGTTTATAGTGTAGGTTTACGGGATATATATTTGATTCGTGGAATTTATCAGAGGATTCTGATTTTGTGTTTGAGTTTTGAATACTCTGTGCTGTTATGCAGTGCGTAAATTTCGGAAGAGCGGTTTGGATTTGGAATTCACCGAGAATGACTGCGAAGACGATGATGATGAGGAAGGAGGCGGCAGCGCAGGGAAACGAAGCGGCGATGACAGCGACGACGGCGAAGATGAACGAAGTGATGTTGTTCGCGAAATGCGAGTGCTGCGGACTGACGGAAGAGTGCACGGAGGCGTACGTAGCGAAGGTCCGAGAGCGGAACCAAGGGCGATGGATATGCGGGTTGTGCGCGAGGTCGGAGCAGCATATTGGCAGTGAAGAGGCTCTGAATAGCCACACGACGTTCTGCAAAAAGTTCAAAGCTCAGAGGCCGCCGCCGAGCAAAGACAACAATGAAGCAATTAAATATCTCTTAGTTTTTATTATTTTACATGGCAAGAAAAGACTAATTTACCCTTAGAAAAACAAGAGATGTGTAAATTTCTGGTGGGTTGGCAGGATTCTTGGTCGGATGGGGCCAAATGTGGAAAAGAAATTGAAGTTATGCACTAATTTTGACTGAAATAAAAACCATGAATCACATTTGTCAGCACAAGTAAAGTCAAGGGACCAAAAGTGGAAAAAACTCCCCCAAACTTTAATAGAAGTCCCATTGCCCCCCTCCATCTACAGTACTTTGAGGTTAAAAAATTTGAATGTTTACCGTACTTAAAATAAATAAAGGTTAAATACAAAAGAATTAAAATATTCAATAAAATGAAACTATTTTTTTTAGTACTACTTACTCTGTTACAATGTAGTATCTGTTCATATAAATGCAAAGAATTAACTAAGCTAAGGGTGTGTTTGGTTCGCACGTGGGAATCGGAATCGGAATGTGAATCAAATACTTATAATTGTAATGAGTTTTGGTGAAAGTATTTTGCATGTTTGGTAATTAAATGGAATTGGAATGATTACCAATATTGATGTTTGGTTATGTATAACCCTATAATGGGAATAAAAGTTTTAAAAATACAAAAACAAAAAATCAAAGACAATTGATTATAATATAATGATGTCCAAAGCACCAACTTGAATAAAAAAATCAAAACAAAAATCTAAAAGCATTAATCCAAACTTAAAAATCATATTGATGAAATGATACTTGTTTTTAATTAGGGAATTGTATCAAGTTTTTTATTGAAGGGGTAATCAAATTTATAGTTGAGTTTTAAAAAGTTGTTAACCAAATTAATCTCTACTCTTTCTCTCTCTCTAGAAAATTTGAGAGTTTAATATATAATGAAGACTAAGGGTGTGTTTGGTTCGCACATGGGAATCAGAATCGAAATCGGAATGTGAATCAAATATATACTCGATATAATTGTAATGAGTTTTGGTGAAAGTATTTGCATGTTTGGTAGTAGAATGGAATTGGAACAATTACCAATATTGATGTTTTGTTATGTATGACCCTATAATGGTAATAAAGGTTTTAAAAATACAAAAAAACAAAAAATCAAATACAATTGATCCTAATATAATGACATCCAAAGTACCAATATGAAAAAAAAAAAAATTAAAAAAAAAATCTAAAAGCATTAATCCAAACTTAAAAATCATATTATCAATAAGATGAATTGATATTTGTTTTTAATGAAGAAATAGAATGAGGTTTTTAACTAAAGGGATAATCAAATTCATAGTTGAGTTTTAAAAAGTTGTTTGTTAACCAAACACTAACTAACTATAATTTTTATTCCTATTCATAGTATGTAAATTCATGAATTAAACACACCCTAAGTTATTTATACGGGCGTGACTTTTTTTTTTTTTTTTTGCTAGAAAATTTGATAGTTTAATATATAATGAAGACTAATTTACTATTGAATACATGCATATGCTAGGCAATTAGGCATCATTGTTCGTGCTCCACAGACAATTATTACTACATACTACATGGGAATAAATCATTAAATTTAGAAAGTATAAAATATACCATTATACATAATGTCTCATCCCAAGAGACAGGGATTTACAAAATACAACATTAATCAATGCAACCCCCTTTTCATCTTATGTAGATGACAATGTTCTTCCCAACATTGAAGGTAAAAATACAAAAATGGACATTCAAGGCTGGATATTCCAATCTTATCCTCACCTCAACGCTCGAGAGTATTTTGTTTCCTAAAGCCAAAAACCTCCGAGTCCCTGTCCCTATATAGCAACCTTCAAGTTGCTTATCACTAACATAACACTAAGTTGTAATTTCACTCCTACACAATTTAAAAAATGTAAAAAAAAAATAAAAATAAAGAGAGAATGAGAGAAAAAATAATATACCTAAAAGTTTTCTATAAAAATTCACAGGAAAATGAAACAATCCAATGCAATGAGAGGATTATAGATGTCCTCCATTTCCTGGCTTGATTGCACTTCTCCATCCCTCTTTGAATTTACTATATTACCCTTCGTCCGCGGCTGACAGTTGGGACTTGCGGGCTTGAAGTTGTGTTTTCCGACGCCGTTAAAAGCACCGCCGTGTCTGAAAGGTGAAATGTCCATTTTAACCTGCCCATCCGCCGAGAACCTCCTGCTTGGAGAAGGCGACCTGAGGGCTCTATTTGGAAAATGGCAAGCGGCGGGGGAAGTGTTCATCACACTCTGGGGATTATCTTTTCTGAAGCTCTTTTGCCGAACCATGGTCGGGGAATTAGAACGGGGCCTTTTCTTTGGGGTCGACCCGCCGCCGCCGACTTGCCTTCGAGGACTCGATGGTTTCATCGCCACGGCGTTCGGGGACGACAACGAAAATGGTCGAAGGCTGCTTGTCCTTTCGAGGTTTCCCTTGTTGGGTTTCATGTGAATCACATGTTGGTTCTCCTTGGCGCAAGACCTCAGAAACTCGTTCGAAAAGGAGCGATCTCTGGAGGAGAGAGAATAGCTGCTGTTTGAGGCGGCGGAGGAGCAGGAAGATGAGGAGAGGGATGTGAGGGAGGCGGAGGAAGGCGACGGAGACACCGGTTTCTCCACCGCCGCCGGAGATATTGCTTGCTGCTTTACATGCTCGCCGCCGTCTTCTTCCACTTCTCCAAGATATGAGTTTTTGGGTTTGCATTTACTAAAGCAAGAACCCATTATGAAAGGAAAGGAGAATGAATGTCCGATGGGGAATCAGTTTTCAGTTTTGTCACGTCGTAATATATGCACAGTTTAATTACAAGAAGAAAAAATAATAAAGAAAATGAAATTAATTGTTTGGTAAAAAGATGGGGAATGGGAAAGCTTTTGCTTTCGTTTAACATTCTTTTCAGATATATTTGAATTATTGAATTGAATTTTGTTGCCGGGCATGGTTCCGTTGCGTAACGGTTATGTGGGGCCAAGAATGATGGGTTTTCACTTTTTGTTGAATGCGTTAATGTTATGGTTGTTTTTATATGTACTTCCAATTTTAATCTTGTATGTATACATGGGTAATAGACAATTTATAATTTTGTTTTTTTACATCCGATTAATAAAGGACACACGTGAATTGTTCAAATAATTTTTTTCATCATGCAATATGTATTAATTGAGGAAAAAAAAATATAAAAACAAGTGAATTGTTCATAAAATTCACAATTAATTATCACTTTAAAAAGTAAAGAGTAAGATATATAGAATTATTGACTTGTCTTGCTGACACACCCACTACTCCCACTAACTTCAAAAGTTGATAACATGGTATGTCGTTGACAAATTAATGAAATTATACCGTGGATCACATGATCCACCTTGTAAAATGTACAATTGATAAATATTTATTTTTAGTGTACTTAAGATTTTATATTAGAACAATTCCTACTACTCGCCCCGGCCTCTATCTACTCTTTTGTAGAAATTAATAACAAAATAAATAGAAAGGTTGAAATATTGAATGATTTCTCAACTAAGAGACTAAAGATCTAGATCGTCTTTGAGCTTTAAGTCTCTTGAGAACTTGATATATGAATGGCGTATAGAACTTTTAATTTGAATGCTTGATTTTAACTAATGTATCTTCTCCGATCCGTCTCTTTTCATTGGTATTTCTTCTATTTAGAGAGAAACAAATTCGAATCTCCCACGCTTGTCATTAAAATAATTTGCTTGAATTTGACAACAAGTATTTATGTCGTCCAATAGTTGCTTGTAACTTGTCCATAAATTTGATTTTATGCGACTTTCAAGAAACTTTCCAAAAAAGAAATGTATCTACTTTGGATAATGTGTCGACGTCCAAAAAGCAATAAGGATTTAGCATAGAATTGTTGGCTTAACAAGAAATCATCGGGTCTTCTAATGATATGGTTTTAATCTTAAAGATTAAAAATCCACGTATTAAACCCATATCCTTTATGCCAAATATCAAATTTAACATGTTTTTTGATAGTTCGATCATTTGATTGTTGGTACCAATGATGAGTATATCATCCACATATAAATAAAGAATGTCATAACCGTCTATCGTGTCATTTACATAGACACACTTGTCACTTTCGTTTATATTAAACTCATTTAGTCACCGTTAAATGATCACACTTTTCGTGCCATTGTTTAGGCACTTGTTTCAAACCATACAACAATTTCACAAATTTACAGACTTTTTTCCTGGGCCTAAAACCACAAAACGTTGAGGTGTTCTATATAGATTTCTTCATCTAACTCGCCATTTAAGAAAGCGATTTTAACATCCATTTGATGAAATTTCAAGTCTCACAATGCGGCTTTGGAAAGTGACGGTAAATATGTCACCGGAATGTATTTTGGAAAGAAATAAATTAAGCGTAGTACTTGTATTGCTAGAGTCTGTGTACAAGTATTGAGTGTGTCCTCTTCTGAATGAAGAGTTTCCTATGTAACGATCCCCTAATAATGAGGAGCCAATTTATATTTATTAACCATAGTAATGGATGAACAACTCTACATTATGTCCTGTCTTGAATAGGCTGATGCTTAGTAAATGCTTCTGTTATGTGACCTTTGGCTTCTTTGGGGCAGTTGCGGGTCGGGTGCTTGTCCCATTATTCTGTCACCACCCCTACTCCCGAGTCTATGATGGTGTTTGACTTGGCTTAGCAATAATAATTGTATCAAGATTCTGTATTAAAGATTCCTAAGTACCTTTCAAAAAAAAGATTCCTAAATAACTTAGGAATTTAATCCTTATAATATGGAATCTGGGATTCTCTTTACAAATATATATATATTCTTTATTTTTGCAAATATTTTCTTCTCCTCACAATATTTTCAAATATAGTCTTTTCGTTTTTATTTTATACCACCTCCATAATATAAACCTACGTAAAGTAATTTTGATCACTCCTTCATCAGTCCTTGTTAAACTCTTGTGTCTGGTAAGTTTTTTTATCTTCTTCTTTATCATTATTTATATTTTTTTTGACCTAGGTGCGGGCCTAGGTTTCGAAATGCGTCGTGGCCTCGGTCTGTGGTGCTCTCGTTGAGAGAAGGAGATCAAAATCTCAAGCAAGCTAAGCATTTGAAAGAATGGCTCGTTCAAGATCCAGCAACTCCCATAACTCACACGACCTGAACCGTAATGGCAACACCTCAGGCAAATTGCGACTGTGATTTGGCCCAAAACATACAAATTGGATACTACGACGGGAAGGCTAGTGGATCAGATCTAGAATTCCGAGCATCTAGTGCACTTTTATCAGTAGATGTTTTTCTTGTAATAAGCGGTTAAAAGTTGATCGGCAATAGCCCCGATCAACCGGCAAATTATGCCCTGGACCCGTGTCCACAGTGAATTGTGGACACGGGCCCAAAACGACGTCGTTTTTAAAAAAAAACGCGTCATTTAGTTAAAAAAAAAAAATTCGCGCGCGTTTTGCCGTTAACGGCGTTATTTTTTTTTTTTTGGATTACGAATGTACAGTTATGCCGTTATGAATGTACAGTTATGCCGTTATGAATGTACAGTTATGCAATTATGAAATTATGAACACAGAGCTCTAACATTATGAACTTACAATTATGAACATATATAGTGATAAAATTATGACCATGGAGCTTTAAAATTGTGAATATAGAGCTTCGAAGATTATGAATGTACAGTTATAGAGTTATGAATCTATAGTTATGGAGTTATGAATCTACAGTTATGAGATTATGAATCTACAATTATGGAATTATGAATGTACAGTTATTGATCGAATTATGAACAAAGAGCTCTAACATTATGAACTTACAATTATGAACATATAGTGATAAAATTATGAACATAGAGCTCTAAAATTGTGAACATAGAGCTTCGAAAATTATGAATGTACAATTATAGAGTTATGAATGTACAGTTATGGAGTTATGAATGTACAGTTATGGAGTTATGAATGTACAGTTATAGAGTTATGAACGTACAATTATGGAGTTATGAATGTACAGTTATTAATAATATAGTAATAAAATTATGAACATATACTCCTATAACGAAGCGGTCTGAAATTAAAAAAAAAAAAAAAAAGGGAGATAACAGTGCCTAACGGTACTGTTACCCGTGTCCAGCAAGCATGCTGGACACGGGTCCAACGCATAACGATTGCGATCAACCAGTATTGTAATTTTTGAAGTGTAATTGGTATTCATGTAACTAGTCGGGTAGGGATTCCCCGACTGGATAGTGTTTTGTAATCGTATAACAATTTCAATCTAATGTATCAATTTCTTATGATCACTCGTGTGTAAAGGCAGAGTAGTGAAGCCTGAAGGATGGTCCAAGACCGTAAAGCCGGAACAAGGGCAGAGGAGAAGCGCCATTTATCCTAGACCGTTATATCGGCAAAAGGACTGGTCAATGGACCTAACCCGACCAGAGGCCTTGGGGGATAAGCGTCCTCGTTAATGATCCATAGATCGGATAAAAAACATAATGCTCCCTAAACCGGAAGCCCAAGCAAGGCTTTTGCAATGGATAATATCCACAATAAAGATCAGTAGATCATTACACAGAGATATCTAGATCTCTAAGTCATATCTTTGCCTCTGAAGGTTGGCCGCGGCATAGTCCTCGGGAGATCGAAAAATTCTATAGTCATAGAATTCCAAGGAAATCTTTGCGGCGGAAGATGTCAAGGCCCGAGACCTGGTCGGGAAGGTATGTTTCTAAAATTGAAAAGGCCAGATATAGCGGAGCGGAAGACTTCAAGGATACTTAACGGATAGTATCTGGTTCTTCGACCTTTATTATTGTCCGGTAGGTGGCTTATGCTGCAATGGTGGCCCCGAGATTGAACCATTACAAAACCCCCCTGGTGCTTGGAATGTAGGGCTAGAACTAAAAAAAAAAAAAAAAAAAAAAAAAAAAACGAAATAGTTTTATGATGCACGGTGTCTCATGTCGGGCACAGATCTGGGAAAGCACGCCTAAATGCGATGGGTGTTCGGACAAAACTGGCTGGGGTGAACCTCATAGAACTTAGGAATGAGAGAAGAAAAATGGAGAACGGGAAAGTGAGTTGGGCTTTAAGCGAGTCGAGATGGATCCTGACCCAATCCCCCCGATGTCGCTCAATAATATTTCCCAAGATTCGCCTGGTGTCAAAATTTACACTACCGGTTAAGGGTGAGGATATCTCCTCAAGCTAAGTATAGGTGAGAAGTGGGAAATGTTATTCTATGGCCTCGTTGCTAAGGTACATGTGCTTCCCACTAACAAGAGTGGGAACATGAATCTGAAGAAACGTGCCACCAGAAAAAGAGGTGACTGGGCGGGTCGCGGTAGCCCGGGATGAAGTTTGAAGAGTATAAGAAATGTGAGGTCAGGAAGAAAAAGGAAACGATTCATAAGGAACCCGGGAGAAGGTTTCTCGGCCAGAGGGCCCCACTTCTTGGTCGGATGACGGCGGGGTAGAAAGACGTTGCTCGAGACGTCCCTCGTGGGCTTCTGCCGACTCCGCCTGGTTACCGAGAAGTCGTCGATCTCTCGGATGGTCGAGTCGTAGGAGGAGATTGAGAAGGACCCAACCTCAACCCTATCCTCGTAGTCCTTAACCGAGGCGTTCTGGCTATTGTAGTCCGACGTGTCTTCTCCTTAAGGTTAGGGGAAGACATTTTAGAATGGAGAAGCTAAATGGGTGAGTGTGTTCTTTGAAATT